ATTGATTTTAAATCATTTTGAGCTTTGTACTGTTAGTTTTAGAAAGCAAGCATTGTTAAGGTGTCACTTTGGGCTCAGAGGAATTGTGACATTTCTCACTATTTTTAGGATTTCAGGTAATCGATTTATGGAAAAAAAGAATCAGCAGATTAATCCATAATGAAAATAATCATAAAAATGAGCTCCCCTTCAACAATTATAACAGTAAAATGCTTATTTTACATTAATGCATGAGTACTAACAATAACCTAATATATAATTGTGTAACAAGACATTTTTCTTTCTGCAGTGAGTATGTCTACTACTTTAGGTATATTTTCCTGATTATACTTACATTTGACTTTAGTGACACTTTCAGTGCAGGACTTTTACTTGTAACAATACTTAAGTATTTTAAATTATTAAATTATTAATACTATAAATCTTATCTTCTTTTGCAGAGTATAACAAAGTCAAACAAAAGCACAGAGACGTCGTCAGGCGTCGGAGTGAGAGCATGCTCTTCTACAACACTCGACACGGAGAGAAATCCTTTTTTCCGAACATTATGTCAATCTCTTGTTGGTCGACGGACACCAGGGCTTGGAGGTAAAAAGACATGAGGTGCTGACGTTTGGACAGAAGCGACTGTTTTTGCAGCAGAATTCAGCGGTGCATAGGAAAATCGCACCAGCCAAACTCTTTTCAAGCACAAACGGAAACCGTCCAGTCAAGAAGGTTCTGGTGACGGGGGTGGCTGGCATCGGAAAAACCATCCTGGTGCAGAAGATGCTGTTCGATTTTGGGGCAAACAAGAGCCATCTTGCATTTGACTTCATCATCCACATGACCTTCAGAGACCTGAATCTGATCGACAAACCTACAAACTTCCGGGAGTTGGTCTTGCGTAAAAACAGGCACCTGGCTAAGGAACTGGATAACATGTTAGCAAATGACAACAAACTGTTGATCATCTTGGACGGCTTTGATGAGTTCAGACAGTATAGGAGCTGCGATGTAGACGTATTTGTGACTGAGCCAGATGAAGATGCGGAGGTGGTGGAGGTCGTTGGGAGTCTGATACAGGGTGAACTGCTGCCCAGTGCTTCTGTCATGCTCACAAGTCGACCTGCAGCTATTAACCACATACCTGTGGGCTGCATCGACCGCTTTGTGCTCATATCTGGCTTCTCCCTGGTTGAAGTTCAAGACTTCTTCTTACGTTACTTCCAAGACAGTGCCCTTGCTGACCGCATGTTTGCCGTGGTCTCAGCGAATGATTTAATGCTGACACTGTGCTACATACCTGCATTTTGCTACATTGTATGCTGCATCCTCAAAGAAAGCAAAGACCTCTGTGGAGAGAGCCCCAAAACCATGACGGACATTTATGTGCAGTATCTGGTGGCCTTGCTTCGCTCTCACACTCAACCAAGAGCCGAAACATTTCTCCAAGAAAAAGATTGGAGGCTGTCCAGCAGCTGTCTGGTATGGTGCTGAAGCTGGGTCGACTCGCCTTTCAAAGCTAATGGAGCATCAAACACTATTCTACAGCAGCGACCGAGATGTAGCAGCGTTGGAGGGATGCAGCCTTGTTAGCACCTTCCTTGACAAGACGGTGACACAAGAGCCCGGCTGCACTGAAGAGGTTTACTCCTTTGCACACCTTACTGTTCAAGAGTTCTTTGCTGCAGTTTTTGTGCAGTGTCAGAACACCCTTTACCTGATGCACTTCAGCACACTTCAAGTCCTGGGGAGGGGTCCAACTACGGACACTTGGACCTTTTCAACCGCTTCCTGTCTGGAATCCTCTCTGAACGCAATGGCAATCTTCTGTTGAGGCAGGTGGGGTTGTGTTGCCATAGAGAAAAAGTGCACACTTATCGTCAGAAGATCATCAGAGAACTCACAATGCTCTGCGAGAATGGGGCCAATATCCTTAACCATTTACACTGTCTGTTTGAGCAACAGGATCCCTCTTTGGCCCTTGCTGTACAACCAGTTACACTGCGAGTTAATGTTAGTGACGAAACACTCACCCAAATGGATTACAATGCCATCACTTACTTCCTAAATCTTACAAAGGGCAAAATATCAGAGCTGGATCTGACAGGAACGGGAGCAAGCTGTGAGGCACTTAGAGATATTCAGCCCCTGCTGCTCAGAAGTGAGAAGCTTTGGTGAGTTCCAGGTAAAATTTGGTTTGCATTGTCAAGCTCTCTGAAGTCACCCATCTATCAGTTTGGTTTTCCACTTGGGTAGAGCATATGGCTCGGTATGCATCCAACCCAGTACTGATGATTGTGTGATGATTGTGTCAACACCACCAGGTTGAGCGATATACAATGTGGCTTACGCACTAACTACAATATTTTATTCTTAAGGCTTGGAGAAAACATCCTCGATATGAACACAGTTCAGGTCATTGCTGATGTGCTGCGATTGTCAGACAGTATAACCCACTTAGGGTAAGATGTCAATTGATTTCACAGGCTTTTGTAAATAATATTTAAAAAAAGATTACATGTGCCCAACAGATATAAAGAATAGAGTCATTTATTTGAGAGAATAACATCTCTCTTTTGGTTACCCACTTTTAGACTTGGATGGTCTAATATCGGTGATGATGAACTACTGGTACTTTCTGCAGCCACACGGGTGAAAAGAAAGCTTAAAGAATTGTGGTAAGAAACTCATGTGAGAGGTATCGCAATTTGCCACATAAAATATTTTGGGGAAATGAAAGTCTTACAAGATGATGGTGACTGTCTGAATCATGGATCATTTGAACACTCACAAGGACAAAATCCTGTAGAAAATCCAGTTCTATTATTTATCACCACTCCATTAAACTGTTTGGTCAACTGCGCTCCACCCATAGACAGCATTGGTTCTGCCTCAGTATAATGGTTGTAAATTTAAGCTACCCAAAATATATACAGCTTTTTAATGCTTTGTCACTGAGGTCTCCAAATATTGAATGCTATTGAGTGGCCTTTTAACATTTTTAGCTTAATGTTGACTAGATTGTTAATTACTAAATAATTCCCCATTTCTGAATCCCTGCACTGAGCTTTTGGTCATTTGGAAAAGTGCAGCACACCCTAAAATGAGACAAACGGAAAGACCTGACAAAGCAGGCCCCAGAATCTGATATAAAAGGGAATGTTAATTGAGCACCAAGACAGGAGGTGATAGATCAAACGCTTTTCTATCAACAATTTAGTTCACATATGGGATATAGATGCTATATTTTCAGATTTGATGGTTTGCCAATGTATTCACATGTAAACCATTGAAAATGTTCAGAACATGTTTCTGGTACCTATTTGCTTTCACAGGATTGAGGGAAACCGAGTGACCTACAGGGGTCTGCTGTCACTCGGAGACTTGACCCCAAATCCTCTGAAAAGAGTTGTGTGAGTGAATGACTTTTTTCAACAGATAATTCTAGTCCCGATATTTCAACAATATTCTTTCTGAATCTCCTGTTGATTTCCTTTTCATGCAGAGCCATATGGAATGACCTGGCTGACACAGACACAGGTGCTTAGACAACCAAGAGAGCATAACTGTGAACTTCTCAGATGACGATACGTGGGAACAGTGGGGGGAATGGGTCTTCAAAAGGTGTGAGGTCAGCAGCAACGAGAAGTTGGTGATGGTACTCCACAAAGTGTGCAACATATCAGTCCACTGCTTAGAAACCCAGTGGGCGAAGACCTTCTACAAGCAACTATCACAGCTCATCACATGCAGGATTGAGTGCTGCACTGAGGATGACATGTGCAAGAAGCTCAAAAAGTTTGAGAGCATTTTGAACTTCTGACAGACTTAAACTAGCCTCAATTTATAAGCTATAAAATACAGGTCAAATGTCTGTTGAATGCTGAATGCTTTGTGTGAAATAAATTAATTGTGGAGGACAAAAAGGAATTTGGTTAACGTAGGAGTAATCTTCTTCCTGCTTATTGCACACAGAAAAAGCACTTTCTGAAAAAACATTTCTGTAATGTTTAATCTGTTGCTTCTCAGTTGGAGTTAACAAAACCCAAAATGTCAACAAGACCACATTAAAGATTTGTAATACGCTTGCCTATATGGATTCACATTGTGGATTTCAACGATTGTCTTGAAACATAGAAATTACAGCTGCCTGGGATAAGTGGCAGTCTACGGAGGGATAAACCTCCTACACACAGGTTGCTGGAAAGTCAAAATATCTTACTGGCCCGTACGGGGATCGAACCCGCGACCTTGGCGTTATTAGCACCACGCTCTAACCAACTGAGCTAACCGGCCACGCACTTACAGGTTTTCAGTACAATATAACAACTTATGAATATGAATTCCACACATAATAGGATAATATTATTAATAATATTGTTCGAGTGGAGGCGCAAGCTGATACACGATGTTTTAAGACTTCTTTAGCGTTCAACGTTACCTTACTGTCTTCACATAGGCCTAGAAGGTAAAAGTAACGTTACTTATGTCATAATGTCCTTCACTTCCACACGGACAACACAGGTGCGTCACATCAAAAGAATTAACGGTTAAAAACATGAAAATATGCCTCAGAATAATGTTAGCTAAACCTTACTGGGAACAATTTTAAAACTAAAAAAATTTTAAAACTACAAACATGTTGAGTAACTAAACGTTGGATGTGGGGTGGTTTTTGCTTCCAAATAAAAGCACAAACCACCATGTCACAGGTCACTTCACATGCAAGTCCAACAATTTTTGTAACGTAAAACGATGCCTCTAACTACATATTTAATTGCACCTATTTAAAACGTTTATTATGATATTAGTGTGTTTTCTATGTATTTATTTCGAATTATGCATCTACTCTTTGTGACTGGCGTAGCATTTTGTTGTTTTTACTAAATCTGATCTGACTTATTGTAACCTATCAATAAAACGCTGAAACCTCAGATGTCCATTATCTTGCATTTTATTTTGAAGTAACATACCGGAACTTGTTTAAACTGCTCGCCTTGGTGTTTCCGCTATGACGACTTTATTGTGCGACATCACGGAACGAACTAATGCCGTTCGTGTGAAGTTAGCCAGCAAGCTACTGGTTGCTGTCATTTTTGTGTGTGCAGCGCGTCAAACTGGACTGTTTCCTCATCTCAAACTGGGTGAGTTCTGTAAATTATTACCGGTATGTCGGATCCGTGTTAAGTGAGGGGTTGGCGGATTTTGAAATGCAGGGGGCATGACTGCAGCCTTTTTAAAATGTCACTACCCGCGAATCGACGTACTGACTTCAACAACTGTTTCCTAAAGGTAGTGATAGCTTTGGCTAGCTAAGCTTCAACGCTGACTTTTTTTAAGAGTTGCAAGATAAATGTGAAGGTAACAGTGTTTTACTGACTAACGTTTGCATTAATCTTAATAATTTGCTGATACTATTAAAGGGGCGTGTTCACCATTGACCCGAGGATTGTGCAGGTTATTTCACAGGTTATTTGAGTTGCACATTTGAATTTGTGTAAGTTGAGGACCAAATCCAGTAACACCAGTTCACATAGTGTGACTCATTCCACTAACATGTGCTTATATGCAAATACACATTATAAAAAGTGTGTTTACTGTGCTGTTTTACAACTTTGAACTGTGTTCATTGCTCATACTGTGAAATTTTGTACATTCCTTGTTAATTATCCTGTATAATTCTTTGTATTAGTATTATTTTGTGTACTTGCACATTTTTGATCTCTTTACTTTTTCTATATGTTTTATTTCTATGTTTGTGTGTACTGTTAAGCACCAATAAATGTAGCAAGGCAAATTCCCTGTATATGAAAATGACCGTAAACCTGATTCTGATAAGTGTCACCAACCTGTGTTGCAGTCTCACCCACAGGATGATTGACACAGAGAGGGGAGCTGGTGATGCTGGCACCGCAGAACCCAGCAGTAAGAACAAAGAGATGGAAAAAAAGAAGCGGTCCCGCGTCAAACAGCTGCTGGGTGATGTGAAGAAGCAAGTGGAGTTCTGGTTCGGAGATGTGAACCTCCACAAGGACCGCTTTCTGAGAAAACTCATTGATGACTCAGAAGATGGATGTAAGGGGCTATCAGTAATAATAACAATACACCACCACATTCATGTCTGCCGTTGAATCATTTAATGCAAGTTTTGATATTTTATCGTGCACATTGTTGAATCAGCTAAATGTCCTGTTTGTCTTTAGATGTTGATATATCCGTGTTGGCCGACTTCAATCGAATGAAGAAGCTGACAACTGACACCAAGCTGATCGCGAGAGCACTGAAAAATTCCTCTGTAGTTGAGGTACTGTGACGTGAACCTGTCTTTTGAAAAACGCACACCTCAGACCCGTCACATTCCAACAATGTGTTAATATTTTGAGATGTCCAGACTAATGTCAAATGAATGCAATCGACACAGAGGTCTTCCACTTTTTTTCAGGTTAACCTCGAAGGAAATAAAGTGAGGCGTCAGCTTCCAATTGGAGACATACCAAATAATGTCGACAGCCGCACAGTCTATGTGGTAAAAAGAGTTATCTGTTCTTATTTTAATTTGGTTTTCACTACATTTGCAGCCACCAACAGTCATTTGATTTGACCTTTAAATAGAATCGCACATTGGTGCTGCTGGTTATTTTGGCAGACGCCAGAATAAAGAATATTCTTTGATCACAAAATAATACTTTGTCTTTCTTTTCATGTAAGGAACTCTTGCCCAAGGACGTGACACACAGCTGGATAGAGCGAGTGTTCACAAAATGCGGGAATGTGGTTTATGTTAGCATCCCCAGATACAAGTCCTCCGGGGACTCCAAGGGTTTTGCCTTTGTTGAGTTTGAGAATGAGGAAGACGCACAGAAAGCCATAGAGGTGAGAACTTATTAACATTGTCACTGTTGCCTAAAATATCTGACAATTCAGTCAGTCCAGGAAACCACATGGAAAATTTTGATCTTCGAAACAGATGCTGAACAACCCTCCTGAAGATGCTCCAAGGAAGCCAGGGATTTTCCCCAAGACGAAAAGTAGGAAGCCCGTTCCCCTGCCAGGCGACAATCCACCATCAGGTACTTTAATTCATTAAAATACCTTTACGCTACCACCCAGAAACCTGAGAAATGTGACGCTGACACATTGCCTAATATCAACAGAAGGGCTGTTTGTGCAATTTTTATTGCGTTGATCCCCACGTCTTGACATTCATGCGCTGTAGGTGAAGAAGAGGAGAAGAAAAAGCGGAAGAAGAAGAAAAAGAAAGAAGCGCAGACCCCTGCCGAAGAAACCAAAGAGCAGGCGATGGAAGCGGACCCGTCGGAGCAGAAGGCGAAGCGCTCAGCAACGGGAGAGTTTGAACCAGAGGTCGCGGTTGCTCAGAAGACACCCGGTAAACTGTCAGACAAAAAAAGACGTAGGTCACAGACAGCAGAGGGATCTGAAAGTGAAGTACCATCTAAGATGAGAAAGACAAGTGAAAATGACGCTGGAGAGAAGGAGAAAGATCTAACAAAGACTAGTAAGTTATCACAGTATCCCCCATAGTTCACAAATGAAACTAATTTTAAGTTTCAATGAACCCCTTTCGCTCTCTTGGCTTTTTCTTTTCACAATCTAAAAATCCTTTTTAGAGTGTGTGGGGTTTTTATTTTTTTTTATTTTTACAGCAATGAAACCATGAGTTAGATGTTGTCATCTGTTATTTCCCCTTATAGATCCGCCGACTGAAAGCGTCACAGGAAGGGTTGTTGAGGAAGGGAAAGAAAACCGAGACGATTCAACCGTGAAAGCAAAGAGGAAGAGAAAAAAGAAACACAAGGAGAAATTGAAAATCGAGGAGGAAGTCATCCCACTCCGAGTCCTGTCAAAGTAAGATCCTACATCCCTTTTTCCTCCATGTGTTGACAAGAATGGATTAATAAGTGAAAACCCCGTCAGAACTCAAATGACTTGATGGGTGTCTTTCTTCCTCTTTTGTCCACATTAAGGAAAGAGTGGCTTCAGTTGAAGGATGAGTATCTGACCTTGCAGAAGCGCAGCATGACATCCCTGAAGAAGTGCATTAATAAGATTGACCACAAGGAACACAAGAGTCTAATGGAGACAGACAATGATCCGCAAGATGGAAACAGTGAGTTTTGTGTCTACTAATGTCAGTGATTTGTGTTTGGAGGGATTAAATGCAGGCTGAAATTATGAAATTTGGAGTTGCATACAGAATAGACAACAGGTTTGGTTCTGGGGATTCCCCACCAGGGAGCCTCCAACTATGAAAAAGTTCTTCTGGTCTGAAAACGCCTACTGTTACTTAATAAAATAACTCTGCACTTAAGAATGGGTGCTTTGGTCCCATGTGTTGAAATAAGACATGAAACAAAGTGTGGGTTCTAGTGTTAATTTTTTCAGCCTTTTAAAAATTTAGTCTTAGTCCTGTTTCAAATGTCCTTGTTAGTTATTGTCATATTTAGTCCACTGTATACTATATTTTTGAATGAAGTTTTAGTTGACTAACATATTTTACTACAATTAAAGTGTTTCTCCTGAAATTTTAGCAAAAAAAAAAAAAATTCAGAAAGTTCACACAACTGTTACATTTCAGTGCTTAACAGCTGCATTTTTACATGCGATAACATCAGTGAAGAGGGGCATGTCTCCACAGTACTGACATCATAGTATTACTCAAAATATCAAATTGAAGTTGCTTGCAATAATCAACATCTTCTCAGCTGTTGGTTAGAATACTGTTTTTAATGCAGTTGTGTTGGTTTGTGGGTGTTTACTTTTTTTGCTCTTCTAGTTGAGAAGGGAAGCAAAAGTGAGAAGGCGACTAAACAAGGACCTCAGTTTACCAGTGGCGTCATCATGAAGATTACAGACAACAAGCCGCTACCAGGGAGGAAGTTCATCAAAGTACAGTATTATAACTCCATTATCATTATTATCTGTATTTGCTTATCAAATGTCTTTTCATCTACTGATGCTCAAGTCAAGTCTGTCTTTAGTTCCTAGAATTAATTTCCACTGGGAGCTGAACTATGTATTGTTTTGATATACACATTTCTGAAATCCCTTTCTGATAATTACATTTGTGTGACAGTGTAAGAGCATAATATCAATTAATAATAATAATAATAATAATCTTTATTTGTATAGCACCTTTCATGCATAAAATGCAACTCAAAGTGCTTTACATTATGAGCACTTAAGTAAAAATAAGTACATAAATAAATAAAATGTACAATACAGCAACATGTACATAATCCACAAGCACAAAAACACAGATGTCAAAACTGGGAAAGGGTGCAGCCAGGGCTATAGTATGAAATAAATACCGTATAAAATAGATAAAAGCAATAGAATAACTATAATCAATTAAAAGCAAAGGCATAAAAGTAGGTCCTGAGCTGCTTCTTAAAATGATCCAGAGAGGTTGTTTCTATTATTTGTAATGGGAGTTTGTTCCAAAACACATTTAACAACTTTTTAGCTTCTTCCAAGGCAAGGTGGGGTCTAACACTGACAATGTTTCTTAATGAAAAATGCAGCCTTTGTAACACTGTTAAAATGTGATTTTAAAATCCAACCAGATTTTTGACAACACTCTTTTCTTGCACAGCCATGCATTTCAGTCTATTAGAAATAATTTGTCTCTGTGTCTTAGAGCCAACCACAAGAATTTCTGTCTTATCCCCATTTAGTTTAAGAAAATTTTGACTCATCCAATGTTTAATGAAAGACAGACATTCCACTAAGGGGTCGAGAGCTTTGGGGTTGTCTGGTGCAACAGATAAATATAACTGTGTGTCGTCTGCATAAAAGTGAAAATTCACTCCATAACATTTTTACAATCAGAGCTCACCCTGAGGTCATTGACAACCTTCACAAGTGCTGTTTCTGTGCTATGTCCCTTTCTGAAACCAGACTGATATGTATTGTGTAACTTATTCTCATGTAAAAACACATTTAATTGTTTATGCACTACCTTCTCCAGAATCTTACCCAAAAATGGCAGATCTGA